GTACTCGTTTGCCCGGTTTGGGGATCATAATTATGCGCGCCGTTTTCCACGAGTTCGGTATAGCGCCCGCATTCCAGCACTCGTTCATGTAAGCCGTCAGTTGTTCTATCGACTCATCGTCCAAGTTACGTAGCGCTTTGTTGGTTATCCCGTCCGGGCTTGGCGCCGACTTTGTGTTGAGCCTGTGCAGCACCGCCCTCACCTCTGCAACGCTGAAGTCCTCGTCTAGCACCGCGTTTCCCTCACCCTCCCAGGCATATGCCGAGTGCGCGAGGGGGCTACGTGACTGAAAGCGGCTTCGCACGTCATCTAGAAAGTCCGCGTGGGTGCCTTTGTAGTCGTGCAGCAACTTGTTAAGCTTATGTGCGTGCGATGTTTTCGTCTCCTCTGGATCCAAGAGGTGCCGGAGGAGATACCACGTATTGGCCCGTTCCAGCTGGTTCTCCATCCCATTGCAGATCTCTTCCCATTGCGTTTTGCATACCTGTAACGCGTGCTCTTTCATGTCCCTGCTTAGCCGTGCTATGCGTCTGCGCAGCGTTCGATTGTGGCGTTGACGCTTCCACCTGTCTTGCAGGCTGCGCTTGGCTTCCCACATGTGTAGGAGTTTGCTGTCTACCACTTCGAGCTGTGCTTCTGGCGGAACCTCCCGCGTCGCCGTTTCTAAATCCCCCTTGAGCGTCGCAGTCCAGCTATCTATATCCTCAATAGCCGCACTGCCAAGATTCTGCTCTTTCCGGACTTTGCGAAACGCGTCCCAATCCACCAGCCGGTGGTTCTTGCCCTTGGTACCTTCCCGATGAACGCGGTCGTAAGGTTCAGCGTCGACCTAGATCTCGATCACTGAGTCATCGTTACCCAGGTCCTCCTGTGTATTGTGCCATCGCGCGCTAGCAACGTTCTTGGTAAATGTGAGGTCGGGTGAGGTGTCTGCACATACGCTGTTGCCCCTGCGCGTAGGTGCGGAAGGGTCTGTGATGAGCTCGAGGCCCTCATTCTGCGCATCGTCCCAAAGGCACTTGCCTTTTGGCGTTTCGTAGCCGTACCCCCACGCCGCGTGGGGCGCGTTGAAGTCGCCCGCAATGAGCAAGGGCCCGTCGGCAGCTGCCTCGCGCGCCTCTCGCAGTAACGTGCTAAAGCGGTGTCTGGCTTTGGGTCTGCTATACACGTTCAGCACAAACAGGCCGGGGCCGCGCCCTTTCGTCGGGATGAGCTCTATGAATACATGCGGTATGCTAACGTTCATAAGTTCGCGTTGCGCCACGGTGAGGTTGCGTTGCACCAGCGTTGCAGTGGCCGGTGGGGCTCCCGCGGTCACAGCTTCGTCTATAGATTTGTACCCCGCCAGCTTGACCGGGTCATTGGTTTCCTGCAATAGTATTACCTCCGGTCGTCGCCGGCTACGTAAGAATTGTTGGACAAGCCCCGTTTCCTCCTGTACCTCCTGCAGTTCCCCTGACAGATAGTGAACGTGTTCCGTGTGTTATGATGTTGTGGGCGTTGTGTTTGTGTGGTTTCGTGTCGAGCCATGGTGACTGTACATGTTATGGTTTGCCGTCCGGCTGATCCTGCGCCTCTTCGTCGGGTAACGGCCTAAAGTACGGTTTCCCAGTCGTTCGTACTGGGCGACCCACTGCGCCCGGAAGTCGCATTTCGATATTGTCTATGCGCGTTTGCAGCGTCGCGACCATTTTTGTGAGCTGAGATATTGCAATGCTCAACTGTTCGGTTTGTGCGGTTTGCTGAGCGATTGCGTTGTTAAGTTGCGCGGTTTGCTGCGCGTGTTGGGTCATCATCGCGTCTACCTTGTCGTCGAGTCTATCAACTCGTTCGCGGAGTTTCTCCTCGCGTTTCTGCGATTTGACGTCGAATTGTTCCGGGTCAAGTGCCTTACGTTTGGTGGGTGCGGGGTGCGCGTCTTGAGCCTCCATGACTTCCTCCACTCTCTCGGCTGTACTAGCAGCCGCGTCGGCTGAACGGGTTTAATTGGAGGAGGAGGAGGAAAGGGAACTGTCGGGGCCTCCCCCTTTAACGTGGCAATTTCGTTTCTTAACCTTGCATTTTCCTCCTTTAGTTCTTGTATTATTGATTCGAATTGATCCAATCGTTTTTGCACTAGACTTTCTGGGTCGCTGTTGCGTTTGTAAGCAGAGCTGCCGCGTCTGTCTACATCTGGGTTTCTATCAATGACAGTCTCGCTTTGCATTAGCGGTGCGCTGGGCGCGCGTCCGGAGGCGACGTCCACCCACCTCAATTTATGGGGGTCAACCTCTCCTCCGCCTTTGGCTGCAGCTGTGTGGTTGGCTCGGGCCGTCGACGTGCTGCGAGGCTTTGCTGAACGAGGTCGGGAGATGCTGCGAGAGCGGGCTCGAGAACGAGTACGGGAGCGAGTGCGACTTCGCGCGCAGGTCTCCCTCGAGGCCGATCGACTGTTGCCGCGACGTCGTCTCGGTGCGTGGCGTCATCCGTAGCCCTCCTCCCCGTCGTTGACGGTGCTGCTACTGCTGTAGGCGGCCTCAGCCTCCTCGCGCATTCTGCGTTCCCACTGTCGGCGCTTGACTAGGTAGGGTGTCTTGTACTTAGCTTTGCACTTGCGGTCTCCGGTGAGGTGACCCTTTCCGCACAGTTGACACACCGGCTCGCACCGATGATCGTCGGGCGGGTTACCGCATCCGCACCCACAGCACTTCTTGTCGTTCGGGTTGGGGCACACGTCGGCCCTGTGTCCCAGACGACCACACTCGTAGCACATATCGATATGTTTCTTGTAAAGAGTGCACCTTATCACCATCCCGCCGTAGTTCACGTAACGAGGCACATAGTAGACGTCGAAAAGGATAATCACGTTGGTCGTGTTTCCCATGCGCTTGGCATGCAGGACGTTCGGGTTGCGGTGGTTAACCAGACTTCTCACGACGTCCGCCGGCTTTTCGCCTAGCGATATGCCCCTGATGAGGCCTTTGGACGTGTTCTCCGGAGCCGCTCTGTAGGCACTCGCTTCGAACTCACGGTCGCCAATTCGCAGCTTGCAAATGCCTCCATATCGTCTAGCGCGATCTTCTGACGGCGTGCTTACCACAATAACGTTTTGTCGCTCATTGAGACGGACGCTGTCCTCCTCGGCTACCTCGCGCCCCACCCCTGCAGCGTTGCGTATACAGCAGTGGACGCGGTCCTTCTGGTAGTGGGATACGTTGAAGCCATCCCGGGGTCGCACAATGATCTTGTAGTCATCCGTCGGCAGGTTGGGCATTTGGCTCGTCATGGTGATCTTCCGCACGTACTGCGTCGCTTTCTGTATAAACGCCGTCTTCTCGGTAGACGCTGGCGTTGCTTGCTGGTTCTTCGCCGGGTCGGCGTCTCCACCCACGTTCTTGGTGTTTCGTTTGATCTCGCACCACCCCTGCTCTTTTCCGAACTCCGTCGGCGATATCTCCTCCCCTTCAACTTGCACGAATTCCATTTCGGGCGCCAGTGCAGCGGATGGGGCACCCGCTTGCTCTGACGACTTGTCAGGCCTACCGTGCCTTGTCTACTGGCTTGACTGTCGTGCCAGAGCTGCTGTACGGGCAATCTTCGAAAAGTGACCGAAACACGGGCTCACCTGCACAAATGGTATCGGGAGAGACCGCAGGACTTTCGCAGTCACTTGAGAATACTCTGAACTGAATGGCTAGAAAGAAATCGCCGAAAACCATAGAAAATCTGCGGAGCCGATGCGACGCGCGTCCGCACACCGTGGCCCCCTAGCGGCCAATCACAATCTGAGAAGCATTATTTATTTGGCGTATGATCCTTGTATAAATGTTTTTTTCCCCACATTTTATATAGCAAAAATTTGATGTAATCATAGTTGGGCGAGTTTAGAATGACAAAGTTAACTTAGTTGGTACAGATTCATAATAAAAGAAGATAGACATGCAAGGATGAACACAAGGGAAAAAAAATCGAGACAACATAAATGCCTTGTTTTCTGTGTTTGCGTTTTCGTGATTTTTTCTCTTGTGTCTGTGTTTGCACGCCTATATTTTCTTATCATAACTTGAACTAGTTACCGTCTGTTTCCAAGTGTAGGCAAACAGATTTAGTGCAGCAATGGAAATGCATAATATGAGTGTATGACCACAATATGTGTCGATATTTGAGTCTTCAGAAATGTATCTCACTCATTGTTGTGATTGTCATAACTTGAACTAGTTACTGTCTGTTTCCAAGTGTAGGCAAACAGATTTAGTGCAGCAATGGAAATGCATAACATGAGTGTACGACCACAAGATGTGTCGATAGTTTGAGTCTTCAGAAATGTGTAACTCATTGTTGTTATTGGTATGTATGTTTTTTATTTGGTTGATGGTGAGTTGGCAACAGAGCCATTTAGTGGTTTCAACGATGCCGCCTTTTCGGCCCCTCCTGGGAAAGTGATGTGCCTATTCAGGAAAAGGGATCCTAATGAAAAGGAGTGCTGCTCGGCAGGGTGGGGGAGTAAACGAAAAAGACCAGTTAACAAAGGACACAATGATAGCCTCTCTGATGGACTCCTCATGATATATTTTGGAAGTGACTTTTGTGCCTATGTAAATATTGTAAATAAACTCGGTGTACCTTTTGTCAAACTGTGCCTTCCCATTGACCATATCTACAAACAAAGGAATTCACTAAACACATAGCTCTTTCGACGTGGTAAATGTGTGCAGTTGTTACTTTATTAATCCTGTTTTTCATTATTCTCTTGTGTACTTTAGATAAGAATACTGTACTTTCAAATGCCATAAGCCTTTGGGTTTCAACAGATGAAGTTGAATCAGTTCCTGCACATCCTTAGAGACGAAAGCATTGTTCTAAAAACAGCTAGGCTCACATTGTTTATTTTCCTTGTCTGGATAATAACCGTAGTTTACTATATAAACAGGGCTTAATGTTATCTTATTGTTCGCCATTGCTTTTTCTGGCAGCATAATTTTCCTCACGAAGATGGATATGCTTTTGTTGACTTGGTGCAGATGAGGATAGTCCACTATTGGAAGCACCATGTGAGCGACCACGCAGCCTTCCCACTACCTTGCACGTGGCTGTGGTGGACTCTTCTCAGGAGGCTACACCACCATCGAGTCCCTGTCCTATGGACGGAAGTTGGTAAGAGACTTCATTTACCAGCATAAAATTCAACCTTAAGCAAGCAGTCTGCAAGAGAGGGGACAGAGTTTGAACTATCCGCAACATGCTGGGGTAAATAGTGCAAGATTTAAGGTTGAGGCTTAAGTAGCTAGCTGGGGCTATCTGGGGCTATCTGGGCTCAACAGGAGCCCTCTAGTCGAGGTCAGCACAATATGTGTGGGCACGTGCAGGTATGTGACACCTCCGCCGTGCTTTGTGGCACGGCGGCCAGTGCACTTGGAGACGTCCCCTCTGGAGAACCTACTCATTGAGCACCCAAGCATGAGTGTGTATGGACCACCATGTCTGCGGGGTGCACCACTGACTCCCCCGCCTTCCCCACCACCCAGCACTGCCGTCCCGGCCAGCCGCGCTCTGCCTGGTCCCAGGCCGGCCGCATTGGCTGCTAGAGTGGGTGAGTGCCAGTTGCTTGTTTTTTCAGCCTGTATAGCCCTCATTTTAGCTAAGAATTTGAAGAAAGTCTGGTTCATAATAATAGACTCCTGTGAGTTTGTACTTCATTTGAATAAGTGTTGGATAGGTGCTATTTTATTTTTGAGCTTTGCTAATTATGATTATAATACATGCATGATATGTAAATAATTGTATGAATAATAGTCACGACAGCTTAGCTGACTTACTGTGTTAACTTCTGCATATGCATGCCCATGTCTTGTGCAAGACAAAAGTACCTGTCATGCATCAAGTGCAAGTGCACATGCATTCAGTAGAATGATGCCGAGTGTGCTTTTGGAGAGATAATTTTTTCACATTTCTGCATGCTTGCATGTGAATGAGTTTCGTAGAGTAGTAATGGTCACTTAATGAAAAAGTGTGGCTTGTGTGTAGAGCATCAAGTTGGGCTAGTGGGTTGACATTCTGTACTAACAAACACAAACAAAAAGAGAGCGAACAAGACTGTATGTGCCCAGACTTATAAATGAATGTTTCAGATGGGTGAAAGATGACATATATACACCAAACAACTGGATGAAAGAAGCTCACTGGCTTTCTAAAAAAAATGATATGCTGCCATCATAAAGTAGTGTACAAGAACTGCAGCTCACAATTGGCGAGTGACACTGAGTGGAAGACGATTCATTATTTGGTTAAAAGAACTTGTTAAGAATTGCTCTTCAGATGGTTATTCACATGTGGCCTAGCATTGTAATGAGTGTAAAAAAGAAAACAGGAACACTTGCCATCCGCTTCTGAATGAAACTACTTGTTTTGCTGGCATAGGGACCGTTGCACTTGGGAGCTATTTGAGGCTTGCTAGACAAAAACATTACATGTGAATGTATAAGTGAACTTTTGGTTCACTCTATGATTGTCAACTGCAGTTTTCAGATGCTACATTGTGTTGGCAGTGTATCTTTGTTTTGCATGGCCAATAAGCTTGTTTCACCCAGTTTTTCATCATATATATGTGGTGTTCCTTTTTTCTAAAAAGGCCAAACACACTTGCATTGAAACCGAGAAAAACCCACTTTTTTGCTTTTGACAATGTGGTCGAGTCTGCTCAAACAATATTTTGCCTATTTTCCTCTCCCTTAAATACCTCAAATCTATATTGTGGCTAAAATTGACATAGCGCAGTATCCTGCGTTTTGAGGCGTAAAGTTTGTATTTAGCTTTTATATAGATTGGAACATTTCACTTGGGCTTGATTAGCTTGTAATAGAAGTCTTAAAACAACTTGAATGTTCGGTATAGCAATGTATTCCAATAAAATTAACATCTGTGTGCTTCAGTCGGTGCCATCCTTAGTCGCATGGGCACAGTGGGGGTGACCAGACTTGATGAGCGAGTGGTCTTTCCTGGCAAAAGGTGCACTGTTCTGGACGGTCGACAACATTTTCTTGTTCCTGGAGTCTATTGAAGGCCCTAAAAATTGCTCCAACTCTTCCCCTTCTTCTAAGACTATTTTATGCCATGCCATTTTGGATCACTTCTTTTTCTTTAAGGAATAGATCAGTGCCCAATATCTAAATTTCATATCTTTTATTTTCCATATATTGTGTTGGAGTGCAAGGAGGTCATGCTGCTGTACGGCTATACTCGAAAAGAAATACTTAGGATGCAAAAATAAGTAGCAAATTCAACCTACTGTTGTTTTAGAACATCATGTTCTTCATTAAATGCCAACTCACACTAGAAAAGTTAATTGTGGGACGTAAACACAATAGCAAAGCAATTAGGACACAAATGAAATGGATTAGATTAGACCATGTTGGTTGTTTTGGTCACGATTGTTGATGCATAGCTGGTTTAATTAATGTGGCTCAGTTTGATTGAAACAGTAGCAGCATTTGGCTCATTCTTTAATAGACACTTCCTTTTTTTTTAGTTCATGTTAAAATCGGGAATGGCCCCATTTTGATTCAAATTGTTTTAGAAGTTAAAGATATTTACACACACTTTACGCTCCCATGAAATTAAGGCCACTTTCGCTGTCTGCATTTGGCTAAAAAAAAAACCGCCACATATGTCATCTTTCACCCATTAAACATGCAGTTCTAAGTCTGCGAAAGTCCAGTCTTCTTCTCTCTTCTTTGTCTATGTTTGTTAGTGCAATGAAAAATTCTGTTGCATTTGCTAGATTTGGTTGGAAGTACTTTGTTTAGCTCACTGCCATTGTAGCACCACTATGAGGTACAGTAGGTGTCAGTAGTATGAAATGGCTACATCATACAAAAGTGATTCAAATTTCAACCAGAAGGCCACGCATCGTCCCTCTCTAGGGAGCTGCACTTTCACTGGCTTGAGTGACACACAGGTGCTTTGGAGGTGTTATTTAAGGAGGAGTACTCAAAACTTTGCAACAGTGTGAGTTTTTGGTGACTTCTTGTTGCCTACATGTTCGTATCTCATTCACAACTTGTTAGCAGTGCACTATGCCTGAAAAAGAAGGAAATATATTATAAAAAGTAAGCTTATGCAAATAGAGAATTTCAGCTTTGAAGCGAATTCAAAGTGAATAGCGATTTGGTTTAAATAATTTCGAATCGAATTTGAACAGTATATATTACTTGTTATATAAAAAAAAACGATCATATTTATCAGGACCCAACTAACCTCCACAATATTTTTTTTAATTGAAAGAAGACCTGTGCAAATGCCTTTTTGTTTTTTTTGGCTCAAAAAGAGGGGTAACAATTTCGAATAGTAGCAGCATTTGAATTCTGGTAGAATGCAAGCGATAACTTGTAAAATATATTAATTCTAAAACTGACTATACTTATAGGCTTACAACAAGCTTTCAAACTTGTTGTACCCCGAAAATAATGTCAAAAATGACAAAATAATGTGAGAATAATGTGTATTTAACATTGAAGTCAGGCCTCGATCACTTGCGTGTTCAGCATGTTTAGATTTCTCTCTCTTACAGAATAACAGTCGCTTAGATTTGCACAAGGCTACCCGTGGTTGACAGGTTTGACTCCTCTCGAATGACTAAAGACGTGCACTAAGATTGTGTCCTTATACGCTGGTTGTTAGAGGGCCAGCAGTGTGGACGATGATCATTTGAGTGTTCCCTTTAACAGTGGAACACACTGTACCTATGAAATAAACATAAAAAGACGATTACGCGGCGTTGATCTAGTGACATTAATGCAAGGTCTTGTTTTATTGGAGTGATGCTTGAATAATTCGTAGTTACCACCTATAATTCGTAGTTACCAGCTATGAATCTCGCTGCCCTATTCTGGATGGCTTCCAAGGTACGGACTAAGTAATCTTGATGCGGTGACCATGTGGATGATGCATACTCTAATTGTGGACGAACATATGATAGATATGATAATGCACGTATGTTAGAAGGAGTGTTGCGTAAATTTCTGCGCAGATAGCTGAGAGACTGGGAGGCTTTTGAAGAGACAGCTGCTATGTGGATATTTTAAGATAAGTCTGATGAAAGGTGAACACCAAGATATTTATACGATTGTGTGGCTTAAACAATGGTGTTATCAATAGTATAGAGAAAGGGCGAGTTAGTACACTTTTAGTGAACGAGATTAACTTGCATTTAGTGGCGTTAAGGGACATCTGTCAAGCTTCGCACCACCTGAAAGTTAGATTAAGGTAATTTTGAAGAGCAGAATGATCGCCAATAAATTGAATATTGCACTAAAGTGCTTATTTGGGCCGGTTGGTACATGGTCAACGAAGTGAAAAAACAGCGCGTAACACAGGACACAGGACAGAGAAGAGCGCCTCGTCCGTCTCTTCTCTGTCCTGTGTCCTGTGTTACGCGCTGTTTTTTCACTTCGTTGAATATTGCAGTAGATGACACAATCATCCGCAAACAACCTAATTGAGGTTGAAAGGTTATCGGACAAGTCGTTAATCTATATTAAAAAGAGTAATGGGCCCAGTACACTGCCCTGGGGAACACCAGATGTGACATCCAAATGTTAGATGAAGTGCTGTTAACCACCATAAATTTATGACGAGATGACAAGAAGTTGCGTACCCAGGACAGTGTTATCAATCGATGCAGAGAGAAGACAAACAACCTAATGAGGATGAAAGGTTATCAGTCAAGTCGTTAATGTATATTAATAAGAGTAATGGGCCCAGTACACTGCCTGGAGAACACCAGATGTGACATTGCAAATGTTAGATGAAGTGCTGTTAACCACCATAAATTGATGACGAGATAACAAGAAGTTGACACCTAGGACAGTGTTAATGAATCGATGCAGTGAGAAGATGGTTTAGAGATTAAACGACAATAAAGACAGTATCAAAGCTTGGCGAAATCAAGAAAGAGGCAATTCATTTGAACGTCTGTTCATTTTAAAGTGAAGGTCAGTAGTAAATTCGAACAATGAGTAGCCTTTCCTAAAGCCATGCTGATTATATAGGGAAAAAGAAGTTATTCTATTCAAGGTGATCATAGATATGAGAAGCTATAATATGTTCAAGTAGTTTGCAGGATATGCATGTTAGTGAAATGGGTCGATAATTACGGGGTGAGTGCCTGTCACCGGACTTAAATACGGAGACTACCTTGCCAATCTTCCACTCCTTATGCAACTCACCAGATGACAAAGACTGGTTAAAGATAAGAGACAGAAAGGGACTGAAAATATCAGTATTGTTCTTCAGTATTTTAGAGTTATAATGCTATCTATATGCCTGATGAAGTAGAGACGTTAAGATTTATAATGAGGTTCACGATACCTTCTGCAGTGACGGTGATGGGAGTCATGAAAGGGAAGTGCTGATAAGGGGCAAATGGCACATTGGAACAATCTTATTTTGTAAAAACTGAGGCAAAATATGCATTGAAGGCAATCACGGAAGCTTCATCCGAAAGCGGAGTTAGTTGAGCATCATGTAATGTAATGCGATTAGAATATCTACTCTAAGGAGAGATTATTTGCAAGAATTTTTTAGGATTATTTT